TGTGTAGGCATCTTGGATTCTACAACCGTGCTAAATTCACTATTAGTTCTAGGAATTTGGTTGATTATGTTGATTAATTTTTCAAATGATGAACAAATCTTAAATACCTGCTAAATCCCACTTAGTCATGATGTATAATATAGATATTGCATATTTTACTTGCCAATCTTTTATTGAAAATTTGTATGTAAGTTCTTGAGAGATAGTGTTTTGTGGTTTTCTTTCTTTTTTCTTTTCTCTCTTTCTCTCTCTTTTTTTTAATACTACCTTATCTGGTTTTTGATATCAAGGTAATACTACTTCCCAAAACTGAGTTGGGAAGTGTCTGTCTTCTATTTTCTGGAAAAGATTAAGTAAAAGGGATGTTAATTCTTTACATGTTTAGTGAAATTGTCTAGTAAAATCATCTTGGCCTGGAGATTTTTTTTTTTTTTTTGAGAGCTTTTTAATTACAAATTTAGATTCATTGATGTCTGTAGAACTGTTGTCTCTTTCATCTTGGTTGATTTTGGGTAGTTTGTGGTTTTAAAGCAATGGATCCATTTATTCTATGTTGTTGAATTTACGAGGATAAAGCTGTTCATATTGGTCCCGTATTGCCCTTTTAATGGCTGTAGGATCTGCTGAGATCTCTCATTTCATTCCTGCTATTAGTGATTTGTGTTCCCTCTTTTTTATCTTTGTCAATCTTGCTAGGTTTATCAATTTTACTGATTTTTTTCAAAGACCATGAGATTTTGGTTTTATTGATTTTTTAATTTATTTCCTGTTTTTAATTTCATTGATTTCTGCTTTTATTTTTGTTACTTTCTCCCTTCTGATTACTCTGGTGCTTCTTGTTTAGTTTCTTGAGACAGTTAGATTATTGGTTGGAGAACTTTTCTAATATAAGCATTTGGTGCTATAAATTTCCCTGTCAGTAGTGTTCACCCTGTGTTTCATATATTTTAATATGTTGTAGCTTTATTTTCATTTGATTCTATGTATCTTTTATTTCCTTTGAAACTTCTTCTTTATCTCATGGATTATTTGCAGGCATGCTTTTTAATTTTAAAATTTGGAGACCTTCCGATTTTTTATTACTGATTTCTAATATAATTCCATTTTAAATTGAACTCCATTATGATCAGAGAACATATTCTGTATAATTTTAATTCTTTTAAATTTAGTTATATTTGTTTTATAGCCAAAGATATGGTGTATCTTGCTAAATATTTCATGGACACTTTATTTATTTATTTATTTTTGAGACAGAGTTTCGCTTTGTTGCCCAGGGTAGAGTGAGTGCCGTGGCGTCAGCCTAGCTCACAGCAACCTCAATCTCCTGGGCTCAAGCAATCCTTCTGCCTCAGCCTCCTGAGTAGCTGGGACTACAAGCATGCACCACCATGCCCAGCTAATTTTTTCTATATATATTAGTTGGCCAATTAATTTCTTTCTATTTATAGTAGAGACGGGGTCTCGCTCTTGCTCAGGCTGGTTTCGAACTCCTGACCTTGAGCAATCCTCCTGCCTCGGCCTTCCAGAGTGCTAGGATTACAGGCATGAGCCACCACCCCCGGCCTCATGGACACTTTAATGTTTATTCTGCTGTGGTTTTGTGGAATGCCCTATGAATGTACATTAGATCCTACTAGTTGATTGTGTCATTCAATTTCTGTATATCATTGCTGATTTTCTGTCTAGCAGTTCTATCAATTGCTGAGAGTGGGCTGTTGAAATCTCCAACTATAATTATGGATACATACATGCATTTTTGTTATTGTTCCTATTCTGATAATGGGTTCATATCATACAAGCTTTTTGCATAATGCTCTTCTCACCCAACAATGTCTTGTGAAAATCTTTTCAAATCAACTGTAATAGGGCTCTGATTCACTTTTTTAAATGACTGCATATTATTGCATGGTGTAAATGTACCAGAATTTATTCTACTATGTTTCTACAGGGGAATATTTGCTTCGTTTGATGGGTGACATAATTCCCAGTGACGATCCCCTGGCCTCCTCAACTGCGAGTCTGGGTTCTGATTGCAGCAGCTGGCCGCTGGGGACTCTGCAGTGGCGGAGCGGCCCGTGGTAGGCAGTGAGGTAGGAAGGCGGGAGGTGAAAGTAAGTCTATAGTGAGCCTTTTGAGAAAAGAAAATGTAACTTTGGAAGTCATCAATAATTCTGCTTGTAAATCACAATAAACAAGCCTAAAGAAAGCTCTATCATCCTTTCTTTACCAAAGAGTGTGGTACCTTAGGCAGCGAGTAAGTTCTCTCCAATCCTGTAGGCCTGTGAACTCAAGGCCTGAATTATTCTTAAGACAGGACAAAGCTCCAAAGATGGAGTATCTACCACCCCTGGGCAAAACTGTAATTGAACCACATTCTTTATTATGGTAAAGTCTCTTAAATTTAACTTACAAACCAGAATATAAACAGATAAGAGAATCCAGGATATAGTAGAATCAGGAAAGTTGAAGGAGTGAGAAATGTTTAGCTCAGGGAAGAGAATGATAAAGGAAAACATCTCTTCAGCAACCTCGAGGGCTGTCATCTGGCAAGGACAGGACACAGTCTGCAGGGCTGGAGAGAACAAATGCCCAGCGGATGCAGGGGGGCATGGGGTGCAAAGCACAATGGCCAGCCCCCCATTCCAGAGGGAGCTCCTGGCCATTAAAAGGACTCCGGCACAGCCCTGATTCCAGATGATCCCAACCCTGAGTTCCCACCATGGCACGGGCAAATGACCCCTGATGTCCACTGTCAGGCTCTCCTCTGACCACAGCCAGCCTGCAACGGCATGTCTTCCCATGCACTAGCATGTCTTTCCATGCACTAGCATGTCTTCCCATGGCTCCGCACGCAGCGTATACACTCGCACCAACAAAGGGCTTCTCCCTCTGATTCTCCTGCCTTGAGCACTCTCTTCCTACCCAGATCTGGATAAACCTTCAGGACCCAGAATACATCCTGCTTCATATGAGAGGCCTTTCCTGATAACCCAGCCCATGCTGATCTCTTAGCACATAATTAGCACCTTTGGGAACATGGATTTGTTTTTAATGGGTCAGCTTTTCCTGTCCAACTGGGTCACTAGTTCCTTTTAGGGTATCACACTACACCTGTTTTACAACCTATAATACCTTCCACAGAACTGACTCCCAAAAAAGTACTTGTTGATCCATTAGTTCCTCCCGCCCCCTTTTTTTCATAAATGCTTTAATGAGAAGTGGGGCCATGTGAAAGTGTTACAGAGTTTAGCTTTCTGTTTTGAAATGTCCCAGTAACATTTCGCTATACATGGCTGTCATTAAAACTGAGTCTCTCACTGCAATTAGCTTTCAAAAGAAAGGACAGAAGAAAACAGAATTCCTAGGTCTGCTAAGAATGCTTCCCAACTACGGAACAGCCTGATAGAGACTTTGGGGGGCAGGGGGCTGCGGCATCTATACCAGTTCACAGAAGAAATAATTACTAAAGAATTTACAAATAGAGTTCAAAATGCGCCTCTGTGGAGTTATGTTCTTAATCCCAAACAGCCAGGGGGACAATAGGCCCCTAGGTTAACTTATCGGCCACTTTCGATCGGTGACATTCCCCAGTGCCCTACGGCCACTTCTACTCTCCTGTCTTCAGGCACTGAGTGCTGACCATGGGCTCTCCCCCCAGGGAAGTCTTGGGGTAAGTGGCTGACCACCTGGCTGGAAATCCGTGGCCTTACAGCATATCTTAGCCGACTCAGGCTGCTATAACAAATAGACCACACACTTGGTGGCCTAAATAACATGCTTGTTTCTCATAGTTCTCGGGCTGGAAGTCCTAGATCAAGGCCTTGGCAGGTTCGGTGGCTGATGAGGGTCTGCTTCCTGGTTTGCAGACAGCGTCTTCCCGCTGTGTCCTCCCATGTTGGAAGGAGAGTGAGGCAGTCCTCTGAGGCCTCTTTCACACGGGCACTGATCTCATTCAGGAGGGCTCCACCACCAGGCCCTAATCGCCTCCCAGAGGCCTCACCTCCCAATGCCATCACCGGGGGGCAGGGTCTCAGCATGTGCATTACGGGAGGACACGAACGTTCAGTCCGCACCGCGTCAACGCGCGCCACAATTCATGGCCTGATGTCACACACGTGCACGCGCCTCTGGATCGCAGTGTCCCTGAGCGCAGGGAGCGTCTGGTTCAGCCTGGACTCTCCGGGACACGGCACGAGGCGTGGGCAGAGTCTCACCTAGCGTGGGCTGAGCGGATGGCTGCGGAGGTAGACGCACAGCTGCGAGACCCCGGGCAGAACCGCCAGCTGCTGGCGGCGGAGAACAGTGGCTTGTTGGGCTAAAGCTTGAAGGCCGAGGTGAGCTGGAGAGAAGAGGCCCAGAGGAGCGCCTGGCGGGGGAGGAAGCTGCTCCTCATGGCTGGAGCATTGCGGAAGGGGAGCAAGAGGCGAAGACCAGAAACTAAGATGAAGCCAAACCAAAAGCTTTCTTCTCACAATAAGGAATTTGGATTGAATTCTGTGAGAAAGGCAAGCTACAGAGAGCTTTTAGGAGGTTGAGATGACAGACATGTATTTTAGAAAGGCAAATGATTCACTGCACTTATAGAAAAGGGGGAAATATATATATTTATCTTACTAGATGCTGAAAAAAATCCCTGATAAAATTCAGTAACTGCTGGAATTTTTTTTTTAATTTTGAAAACTAAGATCATAGGTAAATTTTCTTGTGAAAACATATATAACAGTAATTTGCTTCTTGATAGTTGAATACAGAAGGGCTCACTTTGTTGCCCAGGCTAGAGTGAGTGCCGTGGCGTCAGCCTAGCCCACAGCAACCTCAGACTCCTGGGCTCAAGCAATCCTCCTCCCTCAGCCTCCCGAGTAGCTGGGACTACAGGCATGCGCCACCATGCCCAGCTAATTTTTTCTATATATTCTTAGTTGTCCAGCTAATTTCTTTCTATTTTTTAGTAGAGACGGGGTCTCACTCTTGCTCAGGCTGGTCTTGAACTCCTGATCTCCAGCGATCCTCCTGCCTCGGCCTCCCAGAGTGCTGGGATTACAGGTACGAGCCACCGCACCTGGCCTGGTATTTGTTCTTTAATTTGGTAAAGGCCAAATAGAGACATGCATCAAAATACTTTTTAAAAAATCCATGACAGCAAATCTTAAATGGAGAAAATTGCATCTATAAATTATTGTTATTGTTATTATTTGCAAATTAAGAGGAAAAAAACCATGCTTTTTCAATTTTAGTGTGAAAACCTTGATGTAGAAACGTGTTTCCCCTCCTGGGTGTCTCTGTCGCTGGTTGTGATTCTAAAACCGCCAACATATTAATATAAGACGGCCGCATCCCCCGCTGCTGGGCTGCTCCAGCCATGTGGGGAACGCTAGGCATCCCTCCGGGCACAGGCGGCCACCCGAGCCCCCACACTCTGCCAGTGTGCACACCGCAGCCCACACCCTCCCCCGTGCTGTAGAGACCCACTCACAGCTCACCTGGCCAGCACGGTCACAGTTTACCTGTCTCCTTGCGGAGACCCCTAGTTCAGTAGCCATCTATAGTAAACCCTCAACAAATCTTTGAGGAATTTGTTAAATGTTTCTCTCTTTAATGCCCACAGGAACAGTAACAAAATCTGAGACCCTTCCAGGTAAGTTTACTTGATTATTTCTTATCCCGAATCTCCATGTTTTGGTGAATAGAAATCCCCGTAAGTGCTTCAGATTAGCTAGTAGCCACTCTAGAAAAGGCTTTGGAAGTTGTGCATACTTGAGATAGTGAATTTTATGTGTCAACTTGACTGGGCCATAGGGTGCCCAGATATTTGGTTAAACGTTATCCTGGGTGTGTCTCCAAAGTGTTTTGGGGATAAAATTAACATTTGAATCAGTAGACTGAGTAAATAGATTGCCCTCCCCAATGTGAGTGGGCCTCATGCAATGTGTTGAAGGCCCAACGAGAACAAAAAGACTGACTGTGCACTGCAGAAGAAGGAATTCCTCTTGCTTGGCTGCCTTGAGGCTGGGACATTGGTTTTCTCCCTACCTTTAGAGTCAAACTGAAACACTAGTTCTTCCTGTTCTCAAGCTGCCAGCATCAGGACTAGAACTTACACTGCCAGCTCTCTCGGGCCTCCACCCTGCTGACCCACTCTGCAGATCCTGGGACTTGCCTGCCTCCGAAACTGTGCGAGCCAATGCCTTATCTGTTTTTTAATAAAAAACTATTGGTTCTGTTTCTCTGAAGAACCCTGACTAATACAACGCTAGTAAAAACAACTTAGGAGAACACCCATTTCCAGAAGGATTGTCTGATGCTGGCAGAGGCTCCACCAGACACCGAGCAGGGGAGGGTAGGTGGTACAGCTCCCACCGCCACCACCTGGGGGCTTGGAGACCTGCCCCCTCCTCACAGCTCTACTTTGAGGGCCACAGAGTTGAATGCAGGGAGATCTGATCATACTTGGGACACTGAACTTGCTCAGCCATATTTGGGATCCCTACTGAGTAAGCCCAAGGCTGCAACTTATTAGTCAAGAATGGTGCTCTCTGAGCACCAAGGCGGGGACACCACCTAGACCTGCACAGGACCAGAGCACCACAAATGCCACTTACAAGTTCGTTTCTGAAAGACAGTCACCACATGCCAGCTAGAGACCCTCATTCCCGTTAAGCAAGGACCTCCTTCATTTCTAGAAGATCTCTGAGCATCCAGGCCACAGCTTGACCAACTCCAGGGCAAAGACAGGTCCACACAAGTCAGTAGAGGAGCCACAGGCAAAACCCGGATGTCCCGAAACTGCTCCTAAATAATTCACGTGTGGGGGCACAGAGGGCGGCGAGCTGATGCCTGCTGAAGCAGGGTGGCGGGCAGTGCGCACCTGGGGCTCATGACATCATTCTTTCTATTCTTTTGTGTTTTGCATGCTGCACATATGTTTAAAATGTCCATAATAAATGCTTAAATTTCATAAAAGAATGGTTCACAAGGCACAACACAAAGTTTACAAGTGATCTAACAGGGCACGCAGAGCTGCAAGCACAGACGGCGGAGGTGCGTGTGAAGCGGCCGAGGCCCTATCACCCCTGCCCCTGGGTCGGGGACAGACAAGACAGAGGGGCCAAGGCTCCCTTCCCCCGCCGCCAGTTCCTAGGCGCCTCTCCTGCTGAGCAGGCTGCCGGCCTTCTAGGCCAGGGGGCTCCACACGAGACGGGGGCGGGCGAGGCAGCAAGAAGGAAGGGAAGTGCTAGATCCCCGCAGTGGACGGGAGCTTTGGGACCCAACATGGCACAGCCCCGTGGCCCAGGGAGGCGCTAAACTGCGTGCTCACCACAGGCCAATATGTACTTCTGCCGGCATGGAGCGCGGCTCCCGCGCCCAGAGGGGCGAGAGGGCCCGCCAGGCCCGGAGAGACGCCTGCGCGCTCCCCAGTCGCACAAACACACAGCACGTGCTGGGAGCAATGGCATGTCGCCAGCCCTCCAAATCCCAGAAAATGCCTTTTAAAAACAATAAAAATAACAATACAACAATTAAAAATAACACAAATAAAACAAAACAATGCAGGATAACAACTATTTACATAGCATTTACATCATTTTAGGTATTATAAGTAATCTAGAGATGATTTAAAGTGTACCCGAGGATGTATGTAGGTTACATACAAATACTACATTTTACATAAAGGGACTTGAGTATCTGTGGATTTTGATATCTTTGAGGATCCTGGAACCAGTCCCCTTGGGTGCCCAGGACCACTGTATACAAATGCCCTCACAATCAGCTGACACCTTGTCTCCAGGAGAAGCAAGAAGTCATTGCGAGGGGCTGAGTCTTCCAGGCGGAAGACACTCAAAACAGGCATGTTTTCATTGTTCTATTCTGAGGGGCGAAAGGTTTCTGTTATTCCTTCTTTGGTGGAAATCATAAGACGCCCAGATTATGGCTCAGTGCCTCTGCTAAACGCCATGTGAGGGGCTAATTCTTTGTCAACAAAGCTAGAACCATGTTTCGACTATCAATTAAAAAAAACAGAACGTTTCTTTTGGGGGCAGGTGGCATTAGAAATTTTTAATATGTGCAAAACCACAAGCACTAGCATTAAACATATTGCTAGCAGGTCCCTCTAGACTGCCAAGCAATTATATTTAATGGAATTTCATAAAATGAAGTCTGTCAGAATGACCTCAGAGTGGAGAGTACTTCTGATGTGAGGCTGGGTGAAGGCCAAGTTCCAGAGTTTGAAGCGTTCTTACAAGTTTAAATTCTTAAAATCTGGAATGGAATCTTTGCTTCTTTTTCTGCCTATTCAATAGACAGAAGTGAGGAAAACCTCTCTGGAGGGCTTTTCCACTTTGGGAAAACAACACGTCTCAGATGAAACCCTAGGGTGTTTCGAGTCTAAAGCAAGCAGCGTGCTAACAACGAGCTCCCGAACACGCTCTGGGAGCCTTGGCTCTCAGGGGGTCAGGCGGCTCTGCGGGGCGTCAGGAACAGCGGCTCTGGCGGACAGCGTAAGGCACCTGAGTCTTCCAGGCAAAAGCACTCAAAAGTAGGCACTCCCGATCCTAGTACGGGGAGACACACACTGGCGGCACATCAGTGGGCCCTTGTGACTTCCACTGTAAAGATATTCATTAACCACCACTTGGTGTAGATCTTTTATGGTAAAATGCAAAATGTTTTTCTCTTGTCCTTTACCCAGAAAATTGTGCACAATTGGCCATGTCTTTCCGTTACATCCATCACCATTTTACTTATGAATGAAATAACTCCACTAACTTCATTATTATTTGGGTGTTTTCATTGAACACTCTGGCTGCTCCTCATGGCTTTCCTCTGAGCCCCACCGTACAGACACTCAGGTCCTGCCAGCGCTGCGGGGCCTGGCCCTGGCGCAGTGACCCGGCAGCGTGCTTCTGTGGGCCCGCCTCTTCCAATTACATTAGATGCTGGAGCAAAGACCCACACTGGTCACCACACCGCCATTTCCCCCTCGCCAGGCTCCCAAGCCACAGAGACCACGACCAACCCCAGCACAACGCTGCCCTCAACTTCCTGCCAGGACAGCAAGGTCCAGAGAGGGGGCTGACTGCTCACGCCCCGCACCAGGGGCAAGTGGAGCTGCACCCAGGGGCCTGCCCTGCCGGTCATCCCCAAGCCAGTGCCCACAGGCTGAGCCCGTCCCACGTGTCCCACCAGCCTACCAGCGGCTTCACATGTTTGCCCCCCTCGGCCTTCTGCTCCCAGGACTTAGCTGAAGTTAATATTTACCATATGGTCTTCAAAACTATGACATACATTCAAAGGTAAAACATCATGGGCAGGCAGAGGAGAAGTCTGTTCTTTATAGGATTAAAGTTTCACTAACAGCTTACCTTTCAGAATGATTTTTTCCTAAACATGAATATAAAGGAAATGAATGAGATAATTGGGCATTTCTAAAAATATGACATCTACTATTTTCTAAAAAAAAAAAAAAAACAAAAAAAAACAGCACCTATCCAAAGTCATCATAAGTTGTCTACCTGTGGGGTGCGTGTGTGTTGTCATTATGGGTGTGTGTGGTGCGTGTGTGGGTTTGTGTATGTGTGAAGTGTGCATGTGCTCAGTATGATGTTGGCTATGAAAATAAAAAAAAAAAAAGAAAAAGAAAAAAAAAGTGTGCATGTGCATTTAACATATCTATGCTTATGCCACATAAAAAGAGATGGCACACTTTCTAGATCAAATCAATAACTGTATCTATTAATATCAAAAGAATTTCTTTAACTATTTTTCAAACCATTTGGACAATATTCACGTGTAAGCTGCCCATATTATGAGATTTTTAAATAGTTTTAAGAAGAAAAATCAACTGTCAAAGTTCAACTTCACTTCAAGGAACAATTTTGCAATCTAGAACTAAAACAATATTTAATCAATTTCACCATAATAATATTTTATGGCTATACTTAAAATAACTTTTTTATGATCTTTGCTCATAGTTACCAAAAGAATATAGTTCTAAGACAAAGACGATTGAAGATATTTTTATATACTTAGGCAAGCAAAAAAGAAAAACAAGAATAAATTTTAGAGTAAATGCAATTTATAAAGACCATCTATAAAGAACAATTTACAAATAAAATAAATGATTTTCAATATCATCAGATTCACAAATGGGGGAAATAAAATGAAGTTTAAAGAGTTCTTTTTACAAACAAGGTTTCGTTCCAAAAGAGAAGCAAACACTTTAGCACACCAGGACATGATGGAGCACTTTTCCGATCATCCGATCTCCTACAAATAGCCATCTTCATTGTCAGTAAAGGTGTAACACTCCCCGCCCAACCTCCCTCTGTGAGTGGAGGAAGCCTGGCAGGTGTCTGGGTGGCGCCCCGCGAGCTCATGCTCGCCGGCTGTGGGAATGAGTGGCGACACCTCAAGGCACTGCTTCTCAGTTTGGTCTCCTGATTCTTCTCCTCCGCATTTGGGTCAGTCCTAAATGTGGTAGTTCCTTTTCTTACCTTTTTCAGTCTGTGGTGCCATAGGACCTAAGGAGCCCTTCTTCTGGGGACCAGCCTGGGGCCAAGGGCTGACAGAGCAGCCCACAGCGTTCCCTCCAAACCCGCGCCTAGCGGACAGTTTCAAAGTTGAACCTCAAGGCTGTGCCTGTCTTCAGAAGGTCCAGAAGGTTCTTCTACCTCAGCTCACTGGCTCTTTAAGAACTGAGCCCCCCACCGACCTCCTGTCCCCTTAACTGTTCATGTCTTTCTTTCCTCCCTAAAGTCTTCCCGGCGTGGATCTGAGGACGGAGGGGTGAAGCATCAGGGCACTGCCTTTTGGACGAGCTGCAGCCCGGCAGCCCGTGAGTGGCTGGGTCCCAGCCCGCTCTGGCTCCAGGACAAGACGATTTAAAGGCTGACAGCACCATAGCCAGCACTCTGTATTTCCATCAGTCTCTAGCCCAAATAGAAGTTTTTAGATGGAAATTTAATGAAAATATTCATTGTTCTTTGTTGTTGGATATTTCTTTTCTATCTGTAGTTTCTTGTTCTTTCTCTTTGACATCATCAAAAGAAAAAGTGGGGGCAGTTATCCTTCAAGGGCGATAGAAAGGTGTCTCCAATAAGGCCCACCTGACATGAATATAAACCTTGAAGCCGCGTGAGCTGGAGCCTTTCTCCAGCTTCCGGATGTGTATAAACTCCAGTGTTATTTAACAGCAAACTCAGCGGCGGGACCGATTTACCATGCCATGAGCTTTGAATTCTAGTGCTGCTCAGGAACGTTTTCCATCTTTAAATTTTACATCCTTCACTAATTAACGTTACAAGTTGCTGCTCAAATATTTTGATGTTTCCTAGATGATCAAAACCCTCCAGATTTCTGTATTTTACAGTCAGTGCTCTCAGATTAAGTTGAAATATTTTTGAGTTACAATTCTTATGTGTAATATCCTAGTATCACCTATAAGTAGGTATTTCTGTAAGAGGGGAAAATCCATAACAATACGCTATATAAGTTTTTCAGGAATCTGAAAAACATCGGGACTTTCTTTAACTTAGAAAAAATTTCTGTCCAAGAGAATAATAAGTCCTTTTTCAAACCCTAAACTTTTAGATTTTATGATCGATATTTAGTCATATTATAAAGATCCCCCTTGTCTGTCTACCAGAAATCTTTTAAAGTAAGGATACCAATAGAGCTGTTCACAAATCAGCAAAAAACACCAAATTAAGATATTTTTCAGTTTCATAATTTTTTAATAAAATAAGTTCGTGGTTTTAAACTCAATATGGGCAATGTGGGAATTTGCACATGTGCATCTGGCCATGTGATGATTTGAATCGAAACTGCACACAAGAAATTGTCCTGTGGTATCTGGTTTGCTTTCTGTGAGATTTCAAACTTCTCCAGGAAAGCAAAGGACAATGCCTACATTTACTTTCACATGACTCCACTGTTCACAGCTGCTGATTAACAGGGGAGCAAACCACCCACAACAGCACAGAGCACTAGTCAGTCATGCCATGCACCCCAGGTCACTGCAACCCTCAACTTTGAGGCACCACAAAGTACCTCCAAGACACAGACATGCTCTGCACATATCCAGCCCTCTAACTACAAATACTATTGCTACCACTGGGGGTAAGTCACAAACCTTACATCAACAGATTGTCGAAGCAGGGCTGACATATTTTAGTACGTTCATCATTATTTTGCCACATCTGACCTTCAGAGCTAGACAGCTGCCTTCATTCTTCCAACAGCAAATGCAAAGCTCTAAGCAAAGGTGTAAGTTTGAGAATTCTCCCTAAATTTGAAGACTACCATCTATGTTCAACATGACAGGTATAAAATGCTTTGCCAAGGTCTATTTATTTATCTATTTTAAATGTAGCCTTTTTAATAGCAATTACACTAACACTGTAGAGGTAATTATTAGTAATACACTCTGGTGTCACACTGTAACCTCAAAGTTGTCAGGATTTTTTGTTTGGTTTTATTTTTTCTTTTTATTTTGGGCTGCTGGTTACATAATTTAAATAAGCAATACAAGATGAGTATACATTTTTTCTTAAAATAAGGTCAACCAAATATGCATACTTTACGCTGATCCTTTTTGGTAAAATAGAATAGCCCATACTCAGGGAAGGTTAAGTTTAAAAGCAGTCTCAAAAGGCAAAGAGGCTCTCTTTTTGATTAATACCAATGGTCACATTCGTTTATGAGCACTTTTGATACAGTTAAATGTAACCCACAACATCAACTGTTTCTTTTACTAAGAAACAGTTCCAAAATCACCAAGATGCTGCATTTTACCTGAGGATGTTTTCTGTTGAAGTTTTAAACTGGCTCTGTAGCCTGTATTTACAGACAAGCCGTCCTGCAGGCTTCTCCATGTTACTGACGACACCATGGGGACAGAGTTTGTGCCTCATTTCTTTTTCTTTTTTTTCCATTTTTTTAAATTTCAGCATATAATGGGGGTACAAATGTTAAGGTTACATAGATTGCCCATGCCCGCCTCCCCCCTTCATTTCTTTTTCAATAAAAAGTCATGCCTTGGAGTGGCATGTCTGAAATAAGGCAGCTTTGACCCTCCCCCACCCCAGCACCGCCAGTGTCTGCCCAGCCGTAGAGGCTCAAATAGGTGTTGCCCGACAGGCAGCTGGAAATAAGCGTGTGGCAATTAACTGAACTGCGCTATTTGCTCCTTAAATATCATAAAATGCTTGCATAAGGGATGAATTTTATTGACTACATCGTGATTTTATAATTGTTTGTATTGTAGGACAAACTCCTTTCCAGCCTGTAGCTCCGAGAGCAGCCCCCTCATCTCCTTTTAGCCTGTTTAGATGGAAGAGCACAGTCACCAGAAAAATAGTCCCAAAGCCTCGTTCCACTGCTGTAAACCAAAGCCTTTCCGCGTGGAATGCAAGACAAACACCACAGGAAACCTGGCCTGGGTAAGAAAGTAGAGCCCCTCTTGTAGAAAGCAGGACAGCATTTGGCCTGCTCTGCAAGGAGCTGGGAATTCTAGCTGTGGGGAAGAAAGCGCCCTCCCTCCCCGCGGGAAGCCGTCAGAAGTAGCAACTCCGCGCCTTTGTCACCCGGGGGCTGCCCAGGTCTTCCAAGTGTGTTTCAGCTACGCTAGGTAGGCCGAACCCCGCTTCCCAGGGCTGTATGCCCGTGTCTAACGGGGCACTGGCTGGATGTTTGGTAAAGCCAGGTGGCAAAGGCATGTCCAAAGAGTGGAGCCCAGGGAAAACCAGGACAGACCGGGTCAGCCGATTGTTAAACCTGTCCCAATCGATGCGGAAAAGCGCGTTTGTAGTTCCCTCCTCGCTGCTGTGAAGCGATCTGATTGCTAAGGAGTGCGCGTTCCCTCGCCTCTAACGTGACAGTCACAGGTGCTCCCCGCACCCCGGGCCTCAGGGAAGGAAGGGGTCTGCCCCAAGCTGGGCCCCCACCCGGAGCCGGGGACCCCTGCCTGGGTGGCCCGCGCCCTCACCCACCTTGACGACGTAGGTGACTCCAGGCCCCAGCACCTGGTCGCTGGCGTGCGGCATCCCCCGAGGGGGCCTGGGCAGCGGCTCGTCGCCCTGCCGGCCCTTCCTGGCGGCGCTCATGGCCGGGGCGCCGGGCGCCGGGGGCGCGCTGCCGTCCGGGGCCGCCAGGCTGGGCGCGCTGCAGCTGCCCGAGAGCCGCGCGCCGCTCCGCTCCCGGGCGGCGGACGACAGGCCGCGGAGGCCCGAGCTGGAGAGTTTCAGGTGGGACACCTTGTGGAGCAGGTGGCCCAGGCTGCCTGGCCCATCGTCGGGCGCCTTTCGCAGCGCCTCGCCGGACACCAGGTAGGGGGCCGCCGCCGGGGTCGCGCGCTCAGCGGAGACCTTGCCGCCGCCGCTCACCGACAGGCTATGGAGAAGGTCATCCACCGATGTCACCGAGTCATTCCTGAAGCGGTTGTACTTGGTGCGTGGAAGCATGCCCCTCCGTGGGCTCGCTGCATCCGCCTGGGCGCTGCTGGTGCCGGCCCCGGCGCGGGCTGCCGCGCATAGCAGGCGAGCCACGGTCCCCGGAGCGGGACGGAGAGTGGGGTCCCCGGGAGAGGGAGAGCAGAGCCAAAGAACGGTGCCCTCCCACCATTAAAAGCCAGCACAACAGCGGCCACGCAGCCCCAGCCCGGGAGACCGCTGCTTGGGGTTGCACGTTTGCTTTGCAAAAGTCATAGTTGCCTCTGACAGAGCGCCAGCTGCTCGGGCAGCGCACAGCTAAAGCATGACTCACTCTGAGAGGAGACCCTTCTCAACAAAGGCTCGGTGAGCACCGCAAATCACTTCCTGTAGCAAAAAAAAAAAAAAGAAGAAGAAGAAGAAACGACATCCACCCGCTGACAGCACACTAGAGCCAATCAATTCTCAATTTTCCTTTTCTACCTTCCCAGATATTTCTTTCCAACCGTAGGGTTTTTTCACCTCCCTATACACCCCCACTCTGCATTTGTGCCAAAGGTAAATCCAGTTCCTTCAAACGGTCAAGTGAACTTTCTGAAACCCATTATCCTGTTAGGTTTTGCTCTCCCCTGCTCAGCCCATCTGCGTGAGCCTGTGACAGTGTCTAACAGCCGTGCGTTAAAATGTGACGGAGGCTTTTTAAGAATAAGATCTTCAGCGAATCCTGATGAATTCTGATTTGGAAGGCAGCAGAAATTTTTGAATAGAATAAAAAGGGGCATTCACCCCCCAGGTGAGCATAAAATACCAATTTCCTGGGTTTTTCCTTTTCTTTTCAAATCAAAAGAGCAGCCATGACAAGTGTCTCTGTGGCAATGCAGTTCCTCAAAAATAAGAAAAACAAAAAACAAAAATCTGCGTATGAACTTCTACACAGCGCCAGTCAGGGGTCTTCCCTGCTAATTTCCATCAGTCTTTCTCAGCAAGGGTTACATGAGTATCCACTTCCAAAAAAGAAGAGTGCTTCTTTGATGAGTGGCAACAGGCTCTCCAGATCCATCCCCAAAGGGGGCTGCATTTGAAGCTTTAGCTCTGCTGAGTGTGTTTAAGCCCTGGGGAAATGCCTACGAATCGCTACGGATGCATTTCAGAGTTCTTCGGCTGCTGCTTGCATCCCTGCAGTCAGCAGGCAGCAATGCAGCTGTTCCGGCTGCACACCCGACCCGCAGGAGAAAACGCCTTCTTTCCAGGCGCCAGACTCGCTGGAAGGGAGCGCAGGCCTCCTTCCTCTCGGTGAGGACAGTGCGGTCCTCGGAGGCCTGCCGCAGACTCCAGCCCCGCTGACGCTGTCCTCGCGGGCTCTGCCAGTCCTCCTCGCGCGTTAGGGTGACCTGCCCACAGTGAAGCCCTCCTTATCAAAGTTCCCAGCAACTTCCGCGCGGCGAGTGCATTCGCCTCTCGCACATCATCAGGTCACCCGAGTCCTCTCGCGCGTGGCACCTGAGGTCCCGAGTCCTGAGCCCTGCTCCAAGGAGCAGCGTTTAAGGAGCGCCGCTCGAGGCGGGCGCGCGGGCGAGGCCAGCTCCGAGGGCGCAGGGCGCAGGGCGCAGAGCGGCCGCGGCGTCCCCGGCGCAGGAAACGCGTCCCCACCCGCGCCGCAGCCCTAGCGGAGCAGCCACGCGGCACCCCTTCGTTCCCTGCCCCTTGCTCGCATAGCAACAGCGAGTGCACGCCCTGTAGGCGACTGTGACGGTCATCAGAGTCCTCCCCAAACCGAAGCGAATCGGCCCTGCGGTTCCCAAGCCGAGGTCTTCGTTAGCAGCAGGAGAAACGGCGACCTGTGAATGAGACGCCGTTTGTGTGAATGGAGAGGCCGGCGAGCCACCAGCGTTTCTGTGAATGAAGCGGCCTTGCAGCCGGCGCCAGGCAACCGGCGCGCCTCAGCCAATGGGCGGCCGCCCCGATGACTCATTCAGCAAAGGCTCGCTCAATAGTGGAAGACTCCATTTCAATCAAAGGCGGGATCTTTTCTCCAACGGCAGTGTGGGAAAAAAAAAAAACCAGCACCAGACTTACTGCAAAGACGCAGGAAGAGGACAGCTGCTATGGTAAGAGGAAAAACTAGTTTTGCAAGGAAATTCGAGGCCCCCGGGTCAGGGCTCGGTGTGAGCCGGGTCGCTTCCCTAGAGGGGGGCTGTGCCCCAAACTTTCATTCAGCCGTGCTCTCACATCAAGAAGCCGCCGCGAGTGGCTGTGCCCTCGTTCAGCTTTTATTATGAATGTACACTGAATGCACATTCAAAACCGAGGCTTCCGGCCCTTGATTCTTTTATGTGAAAAGAATGCAAAACACCTGTGCACGTTCTGCGTCTCCAAGGCAGGAAAAATATCCAAAACGATCTAATTAACCCTTCAGCCACCAGGATACTTTTATTTCTTTTATTACGAGGCCAGCGGAGGGGAATCGGTAATTTTAAAATATGAATAGCAGTGTAAATTTGCTACATATGAAAAAGATGCCCAATCAAAGCAGGAAATTAATATTCCAAGAGCATGACAGTACAGTAAAGCCCCGAGTACCCGGAAGGCAGCATCGACGCTTTGGAAGGTGGCAGGGCAGAGAGCAGGGCGAAAGCCCCCAGGCCTCTGCGCGCCCAGGCAGCCACGCCGCCCCGAATCCGCACCGCGCTCACAGCAGAGCACTGTGCCCTTACTGGGGAGTTGCTCCTACTCGTTTTAGACCTTATCCCAAGAAGCCTAAGCATCCCTTCGTGTGCCGTGTAGACATGGAGGACAGTGGAGACTACTCCCTTAGATAACGCTAAATGTAAATGAAATTTCCATAGTCTGACAGCACAGAAGAAAACTGAAAAAGAACCTCATTTTAAAGTCAGCCTTGAGACACAAAGGCCAGGCAGTCTGGGATCATTTGCAGTGACAGCCTTTTCAGCATGTTGTGGCTTTTCTTTTTAAAATCAATAATAAAAACGTGTATTTGTTTTCTAAGCCACTGTTTACATTAAGCTTTCTATGTAATCCGTGGCTTAAAACAACACACATTCATTGTTTTCCAGTTCTGTAGGTTGTAAGTCCAACATGGGTCCTCGTGGGACCCAGCCAGGGTGCAGGAAGGGCTGGTTGCTCCTGGTGGCTCTGGGGGAGGGTCCTGAGCATGTGCCTTGAGCCGGGCCCTGGGAAAGGTGGCCTTGCCCCCAGGAAGGCAGAAAATCTAAAATTAATGTCATAACCCAGTAGGAGGCTATGTGGATTCTTTAATATGTGTGAGATACAAAAACTCTCCAGAGGGGAGCAAGCTTGACCTGAGGGTGTGGGAGCTGCCCCCAGCCCAGCAGAGCTGGAGGGCTGCCAGGTGCACTCCCCAGGAGGAGGCTCTGTGTGGGGAAGGGCTCCAGGCCATCTCAGAGGTTCCCACTGGGCTGGTTGGGCTAGGGAGGAGCGGCAGGGGCTGGGTATGCAGGGAGGCGTGGAGAGGCTTGAGGGGGCTACGCAGGCAGAATTGCATTTTATGGAGCCCACTTTGATAGTGGCTTGGGGTGGCTCTGGGGCGTTGAAGAGGGTGGGAGATAACAGGAAGAGTTAAAAATGATGAGGGCTGCAGTAAAGGCAAGAGCAACTGGGTCAGAAAGAGAGAGATGGATGCAAGATGCCATGAGAAGGTAGATGACCTGTGTCCACTGACAAGAGTAAGGCAGGGTGGCAGCAGAAGCTGTGACAGAGTTTGGGATGCAAAATGCTTATCAGGTGTCAACCTCCATGGAAAGCAGGGTGGTCAGGTCGCAGGGTTCCCCACAGTGAGAAGTGGGCGGTGGTCAGGCCCACATGCCCTAGTCCTGCCAGGAGTCCTGGAGAGAAAATGCCATGCACAGGGAGTGTCCCCTGGGCCTGCAGGGCTTCTCTCTCTCTCTCTCTCTCTCTCTCTCTCTCTCTCTCTCTCTCTCTCTCTCTTCCTCTGCCCGGGCAGGGAAGGCCTCCAGCAGGTGGTGCCCTGCAGCTGAGTCCCCCACAAGGCGTTGACAATGGAGGCTGCTTGCCCATGGCACCCCTGAAGCCCAGCATCTCCCACGGAGAAGAGCACCAAGAAAAGCCCACGTTTCTGACTCACATGGTTAGGCTGAGTTGAGCTTTGTCCATCAGGATGAAAAACACAGGCGGGCAGAAAGGAGGATGAGGGCTAGGTTTGGATGCATGTGAGGGGTGGGTCTTTCACAGAGATGGCCATGCTGAAAGCACCCAGGAAGTGAAGACTTGAAAATGCCAGACTTTCCAGATGGAGCTAAGAAAAAATGGGCAGAATTTGAAGGATAAATATGGAAACCTCCTCTGATGGATGTCATGGAAGAGAGTTTCAAGAGAAAAATCAGTGATGGTTAACAAGTGCAGTGGTGACTGTTGTAACTACCCTGAGTGTCCCCATGCACCAGCAATGAGTGCCCATTGTAGATAGATATAGATACACAGGGAGCTTACATCCTATTTGCACAAAAAGAAACCAGGGGTCAGAGGAGTTACAAATGTGCCCGAGCCACACTGGGTCAGAAGCTGGTAGAGTGGCCTGACCGAGAGTCATGTTCGTGACCCAGCAGCACCCTGAATCAGGGCGCTTGTGTGAGGTCCCTGCTGAGACCCATGCTTTGGAGGTGGTGATTATCCATCACTGGACATGGTAACAAGGAGGATGGAGGGTATCCCACTCAGGTCGCAGGGTGGGGCCAACTGAAAGAGAGACAAGAAAATGAATGACAAGATCATACTCCACCTAGAAGAGTGAATGAAATGAAAGATAATGCTTAGGGTATGGCAGGGAGTACAAAGCAGGCGATGGAAGATTTAGGAGTGTATTTAGGGTCAGGGAGCAGAACAGAATGGGAGAAATTAACATGCAGGAAAGAGAAAAGGTCAACAGAGTGGATGGGCATCAGCCCTGGTGCAGACAGTAGGATGCCCCATGCTCAAGAGGAAAGGAGGGAGGAAGTGGGGAGCAGATCATTCAGGGTCCAAGTAGGAGATAAGAGTCCCCCTACCCCCAACAGGTGGCCCAAAGGCAGAGACTTCGAAAGAAGAGACCCACACAGAGATGGGGCTAAGGCAGTCCAAAAGGGTGATGATACACCAGGGGTTCAAAAGAAGCAGAAGCCATTTCCACCATGAGGGCTGAAAGAACAGCAAGGAAATGCAGTCACTGGAGCCAGTAGAATTCCAGCTGGAAATCTGGAGGAGGGGCTGTCAGGGGAGTGGTAGTTTTATTTTTATTTTTTTGTTTTTGTGGATTTTTAGTGGGGGAAGCTATGGTTTAAGAGGACTAAAGTTACTGACAGAGAGGAGGGGTCAAGGAGAAAACAGCCGGCCTCTCTCCCACACTCTCTCATCTCCTGTTGGTGCCTCCCGCTGGCCAAACCTGGAGAAACCAGAGGGCCAGGGGCGCAGTGAGGGACCCTGGGGGAGGCCGCTTCCAGGCACAGTGCAGGCTGGGGGGCAGGGGGTGCCCCAGAGCCAGCACAGTGAGTGTGTCTCTGCATAACTTTGTGGGTGGTCATGGTAAGAAGCTCAAAAATTTTATGTCTGATTTGGATGTTACACTTGACTCTCACTGTGAATAAAAGGCAAGCTTGTACTTTTAAAAAAAGCGAAATGGGGTACATTTAAGTAAGTAATTTGAGCCATAGGTGAACATACAGAATGGCTGCTGAGGGAGACAGAGGGTGCTAGCAGTAAGTCAAGACGTGAGAAGAGACTACTGTGTGCACAGTGAACCAGTCACTGGTCTGTGGTGTCCCTGAGGACAGAGGTGTGATTTTCTCTGCAGGTGTTCACATGCCCACAGATGAGTGAGAAGGCAGAGGTCCATACAAGGATGCAAGCCCAGGGCAGGGCATGGAGGACATAGGCCAGCAGGACTCTGGAGCAGGTATGGGACAGGGGGAGAATGGGGTGGACGTAGCCACTAAGGAGGATCAAATTTGGGCACACAGGTGTTGCAGCCCCAGGAGACTGCCCTGTGGGTGCTCGGGGACATGCACCACAGAGAGGTGGACGGAAGAAGAAGGCCCCTGATGGTGTGTCCTGGGGCATGGGTGGGGAGAGGGAGCAGCCTCAGCAGAGGGATGGAGTGGGAGGTTTCAGGTTCACTAAAGGCAGAGATGGGGTTCGTGCTTGGATGAGGCTGGGTCAGAAGGAATCTTCCCCATGACGAGGTGGGATGGTGGGATGGCCAGCACTAGGGAAGAGCAAATGAGGGCACAGGCTGTTTAGAAGGGAAGAAATGAAAGCCAAATCTTGAACTGGCCGTAGTGAAAGGAATTCCAAGGCTGAGGTGGCAGGCGAGCTCTCTTCAGGGACCCTCAGTGACCATGTGCCCATTCCCCACTTGGTGGGCAGTGGGAGCAAGACGGGGTATAGGGTCATCTATGGTGTAAGATACTCTGGAACAGGGCTGTCAACAGTGGGAGGCCAACAGTTGAGCACCAAGGAGAGTTCCTCACAATGTGAAACCAGGGCCTGCCTCCCTGTCCCCAGAAGCAGCAGGAAGGGTCAGAGTGGCCCACTCACTGCGCCCCAGTGTCCTCCACAAGAGCTGCGTTTCTTTATTTCTAAGATTCAAATTATTGTCTGTGTGTGTGGGTGACACTGCTCACTGGGACAGGCACCTTGCCAAGCCCCTCCCTCGGGCCCATTATTTCTCATGACCCCACCATGTCTGTCTATTATTACCCTATTTTACAGATGAGGACACCGAGGCCAAAAGAGACCAAGTGACT